GATGGATCCAAGGTTTTGTTTTTATTATTTAATCATGTGTTAATCAGTGACTCAACATCTCTATCAATTGATCACTAGCCAAATTAAAGGTACCAACCAATGAATGATGCAAATATTTGTAGAGAAACACAATGCCATAAAGTAAAAAAGTTCTCTAATAATTTTCCCATCTACTGTAAACAAATGGGCACCCTCCCCAGCCTTTAAACTACTGTACAAAAACAGACTCAGAATTCCTCTAATAAATGCATGTTGTTATAGGATCTCTACTTTACAACTGGATATTGATGTTTTCTTTCCTGTTTTCTAGTATTATAGGTACTCCTTCACAAAGTGATTGGCCATCAAGTGTTTCGCTTCCACGATCATCATTCCCAAGATATGTTTCATTTTCCCTGGCGGAGTTAGTACCAGAGATGTGCTCAAGTGGAACTCATTTACTCAAGGTATGAAACTAAAAAATGTACACCAGAAACACATACAGGGTACATGGAATACTGTTAGTTTTATGTGTTTTCGTGCACAGAATGGAGAGAAAGGGCAGATCTATGAGATTTACAATTTTGCGAAAGTTTTTTGGTCTTTTATCTGAATAATTCACCTTCTATTTTGGTTTGCACTGTGTATGTTATAATAATTTCGGAAATTTGATGATTGTTTTCATGCATGAGCCAATGACTTTTCCAGGCCTAGAGATATTTTTTTCAGATGTTTCTATGACTCTCCAAGACTCTTATGTCCAAATAAATCCCAAATGGATTGATAACCCAGGCAAGTTGGCATAGATGGAGCACTGCAATGTCTTTTTGTTTGCACGAGGAAAAACAGTGACACAAGTTGTAACTGGTTGTTAACACACTTAAATGGGAAACTGTTTTAATAAGTGCTTAAACCCTTGGAGACCCCTATTATTTGCAGTATGTAACTAGTAAGAGCATTAACCAAGGTTTATTTATCTAATAAGCAAGTTCTCTCTTTTGTTTCAGCAAATGCTCATTTTTAGCCCTCAGAGAAGAATTGGTGCAATAGCGGCCCTTCAACATGAGTATTTTCAAGAATTTCATGACGGTGATAAAGAAAACTCACAATTTAGTTCTCCAAATGTTTCAAACAAGAAGGAAAATGTTCCTGTGCTCTGAAAATGAGTGACATGGAGCTGGTGTGGTGTGCAGAACATTATATATACAGATTTCAAATGCCAGTAGTTGAGGAACTACAAACCCTTGGTTGTAAACTACATTTAGGACAGTTGGTGGCATGGTCTTGTACCCATGGTGTGAAAACTAAAATATCAAAGTTGAAATTACAGCAAGGACACTCAAACTGTGAACGTTTTACAGTTTTTTGCATGACTAGCTATTTTTACGTTAAAAAAAAATCTTGTACATTATATGAAGAGCCTTCATTCTGTGGTAGCCAAAACAATGTACCAAAAAAATTTCAACTGTTCATGATTTGAGTGTCTTAAAAAATTTAGAAATTACTTATTATCATTATTTTTTAAAAAAGGTGTGTAATATATTTCCAAGTAATTAATATGTTATTTGGTTCAGTGTAGTTCTTTAGAGTTCACATTGTACCAATTTGTGTCTTATTACCTTCAGTGACTCACCCAAAAACGATGAGCAATCTGCTATAGAAGGGGGGAGGTGAACAACAAATGCAAGGCTTTGAGAGAAGGCGAGCCTAACATTTTTCTTTGTGAGCGTAAGACATTTTTACTTTTGAATTGCAAGACTGAAACTTGAAAATGTGACACAATTTTTTCTCTCATCACTTGTCGTGAATAAACCCTTTACCACCCTCTCTTTGCATCACTATATCACGGAAAATTGTAACACAGAAACATAAATCAGGACCTTGAAATTCTTTTTGAAGCTTGTTGGAAAGACTTACAAATTCATGAAAGTAGAAATTTGTTCTCAAAAATGTTAGACTGTAGTTCAAGAATAATTATAATAATATTATAATATTGGTTTATAATTAGTGGTAGAAGGGAACTTCATAGTTTTCATGGGGCACAAAATCCTCAAAAAGGTTGTTTTCTGCACAATAAGGGCTTGTGGAAGCTTAGGAGGTTTAGTGTTATTACATATCAACAATGTTAGCAAAAGTTACAGAAGTGAAGAGGACCAAAGGCACAACTTCACTGTAGCTAAATTATGTTAACAAATTCCATTATCTTCAACAAAGAGTACAGTCATTTAGGAAACTCTAGTTGAGTAAAATGTCTCAGAAAAAAATAAAAACAATGAAGTGATTATTTATTTGAGGAAAACAATGTCTTGAAATGTGTCTTCCTAAAACAAAGAAAAAGAGAAAAATACATACACTAGCTGTGGCATAGTTTGATGGTTAAGTAATGTCCTTTTTAGAAATTTATTTCATTTGATCAATTTGCATTCTTTTCTAAATAACATTAACTTGCATTTATGCTGTTAGAATTTACTTAATTGGCCTGTCACTGTTACATGTGATACAGCGTTGGATTCATTCCGTCAGTAACTAGTTATCTTCATGATAGAGTCAGTTTTAGTTACCATTGATAATTTGCGAAAAACAAATGGCGAAGTAACCATAATGCTGATCAACACAAGCAAAACAACAACAACAACAACCCAAAAACAGTCAATGAAGCAAATATTATTACAGAGAAATACAAAATAACATCAGCGTCCGCAAGTCCTTGTTATCTGCTATCTAGAATTATAACAGATTTGAGATATGCTACAATATGCATTCCTCCAATATTTTTGAAAGGCCAGCATTATCACAGTTAATCAGTTGAATAATAACACAGTCCTCCTAAATCTTGTGAAATACACACCACTGTATCACCTGACTTAAGCCAACTTGCCATAAAATCTCATCGGCTAAGTATCAGTTCATAGTTGACATTCTGCATAAATTTCCAAGATATTGTTTTAAGGTAAAGTTGATGTTATATGCAATGATTTGTGCAAAATTTTAACTGGTCATTAATCCATAATGTAGTCTTACATGTAGTTTACGCAGGCAGGGTCATTGGAAAGAACAAAATAATGTACTGATTGATTTTAATGATTCTTGCATAAAATGCCATTGATTCGCATTTTGATTTTCATGCAATTGATATGAAACATACCAAGTATTAGTTTATAACACAAGTCTTATTTTGAACATTAGGAAGTACCTTAAAAGGACACAGTATCTGGGGCTCAATATAGGGACTGGAGAAGGCAGTCCCCTGTAGGGCAGTGTGGGAAGCATCCTCCCCAGACAATTTTTAAAAAATTTTGAGGTCCTCAGAAATGGGATTTCCGACATTCTGAGGCCTAGTTGGCGTGTTGTAATGTCTCATTTTTTTTTT